AAACAAAAAAAAAAAAACAACACTGCTACTCCTTGAACATTTCTGTCCAGGTTGGGTGCAGTGGCTCACACCTGTAATCCCAGTACTTTGGGAGGTGGAGGTAAGAGGATTGCCTGAGCCCAAGGGTTTGAGAGCAGGCTGGGCAACTTGGCAAGACCTCATCTTTACAATAAATTAAAAAATTAGCCAGGCATGGTGGTGCATGCCCGTGGTTCTGGCTGCTTGGAAAGCTGAGGTGGAAGGATTGCCTGAGCCCAGCAGGTTGAGGCTGCGGTGGCCATGAGCGTACTACTGCATTCCAGCCTGGGCGACAGTGAGACTCTGACTCAAAAAACAAAAACAAAAATAAGCCAAAACATTTCTGTCCCTATCACTGCACTAAGCTACTTGACAATGTAGCTCCTCAATGACCTCCATACAGCTAAATTCAATGGACAGTTTTCAGTCTTTGTCTTTTTTAACCTATCAGCAACAACCAACACAGCTAATTCTTCCTTACTCCTAAAAACATCTTTTTTCTTTGGCTTCCAGGGTACCATTCTCTCAGTTCTTTTCTGGCTGACCAAGTCTTGATCTTCTTTTTTTTTTTTTTGAGTTGGAGTCTCACTCTGTCACCCAGACTGGAATGCAGTGGCCACTCCTGGCCACTGCAGCCTCAACCTACTGGGCTCCGCCGATCCTTCCGCCTTAGCCTTCCGAGTAGCCAGAATTACAGGCATGCGCTACCACGCCTGGCTGATTTTTTTTTTAATTTATTGTAGAGATGAGGTCTCGCTAAGCTGCCCAGGCGGGTTTCGAACCCGCGGGCTCAACAATCTACTCACCTCAGCCTCCCAAAGCGCGGGATTACAGGCTAAGCCACCGAGCCCGGCAAGTCTTGATCTTCTTTACTAAATTATTCTTACCTCTCTATCCTCTATATATTGGGAGTGTCCTAGGGTTCAGTCCTTAGTCTTCTTCTCTAGTTTCACTCCCTAGGTGATTCATCAGACCATGGTATAAAATGTAATTAATTAATCAATTAATTTAATTTTTTTTGAGTTGGAGTCTCACTCTGTCGCCCAGACTGGAGTGCAGTGGCCGCTCCTGGCCACCACAGCCTCGACCTGCTGGGCTCCGGCGATCCTTCCGCCTCAGCCTTCCAAGCAACTGCAACTACAGGCGTGCACTACCTCGCCCGGCTAATTTTTTGATTTATTATAGAGACGAGGTCTCACCAAGTTGCCCAGGCGGGTCTCGAACCCACGGGCTCAGGCAATCTACTCACCTCAGCCTCCCAAGGCACGGGATTACAGGCTGAGCTACCAAGCCCAGCTAAAATATAATTTATATGCTAACAACCCCCAAAGGTAAAGTTCTGATCCCTTCTAAACTCTGATCTCGCATATGCCAAGTGCCAGCCTGACACCTCTCTCTGGATATGCAAGTGGCATCTCAAAACTGTTTGAAACTGCACTGGATTCCTAGACTCCTCCAAACCTGCTCCTCATCCAGCCTTCCGTATCACAGAAAACTCAATGACATTCTTTCAGTTGCTCAGGCCAAAAATCTGAGTCATTCTGATTATTCTCTCGCTCTCACATTCCACATTCAATTAATTCATCAGTACATTTCATCAGTTCTACTTCCCAAGTATACTTGGGTTCTAACCACTTCTTATCACTTCCACCGTCACCCTAGTCTCAGCTACCATTTTCTCTCACCTGAGATTAATACATTAACTTCCTAACTGGTTTTCAGCTTCTACAGGTAACTAGCTACAGACTCAATTCCACACAGTTCTTTTATAAATTCAAGTCATCTCATGTGACATTTCTACTGAAAACTCTCTCCTATGGTTTCTCATCCTAGAGTCAAATCCCAAGTCCTCACTATAGCCTATTAAGGCAACATAAGGATTCAGATTATATGCTCTAGACTCCAAAGGCTTCGTTTGAAACCCTGGCTTTGCTATTTACTAGCCCATAGGCGAGTTACTTCACTTACCAAGTCTGTTTCCTCATCTGTAAAATGTAATAGTACCTTCACAAGCAGCATCTATAAGGAGCTTAGAATTTATATACCCATACCTGGTATACAGTGAGCAACATTAGGTGTGTGCTTCTGCCTCAGAGCCTCCACTTATTTTTCCTACTAACTGCAGCCTTGGCTCATGCCCTCATTTCATTCAAGTCTTGGTTCAGAGAGGCTGTCACTATACAAACCACCTATCTTACAGTTACTCTATTTTCCCTCCCCTTTTTCTTCAGAGCACTACCTTCCTGCTAGAATGCAATTCAACAGAGCCAGGACTTTGCCCTTTTTTCCACTGTTGTGTCCCTGCAACATAGAATGGTCCCTGGTACAAAGCAACTTTCAATAAATATTTATTAGTATTTGTTAAAGGTCTAAATTAATAAATACACAAAACTCCCAATTTCTAGGCAGGTGTCACTTTTTTTTTTTGTGAGTCAGTGTCTTACTCTGTCACCCAGGCTGGAGTCACTGACACGTTCAGGTCACCGCAGCCTTGACCTGCTAGACTCAAGCGATCCTTCTGCCTCAGCCTTCCAAGTAGCTGAAACTACAAGGCACACGTCACCATGCCCGGCTAATTTTTTGATTTACTGTGGAGACGAGGTCTTATCAAGTTGCCCAGACTGGTTTTGAACCCCTGGGCTTAGGTAATTGTCTCGCCTCAGCATCCCAAACTTCTGGGATTATAGGTTTGAGCCACTGTACCCAGCAGGGGATAATACTTCCTTTAATAGAATCAAGGATTAAATTATGTTTTGTTTTTTTTGAGTCAGAGTCTCACTCTGTTGCCCAGACTGGAGTGCAGTGGCATGCTCACAGTCACCGCAGCCTCGACCTGCTGGGCTCAGGTGATCCTTTTGCCTCAGCCTTCCAAGTAGCTGGAACTATAAGCACGTACTACCATGCCTAGCTTATTTTTTGATTTATTGTAGAGACAAGTTATTATCAAGTTGTCCAGGCTGGTTTTGAACCCCTGGGTTCACCTAATTGTCTTGTCTCGGCCTCCCAGACTCCTGGGATTATAGGCATGAGAGCCACCGTACCCAGCAGGAGATAATACTTCATAAACATGAAAACTACTCTTCCTTTGATAGAATCCAGGATTACACTATTTTTATTTTTATTTTTTGAGTCAGAAAAAAAAATATTAAGCTAGGCCCAGCATGGTGGCTCACGTCTGTAATCCTAGCACTTTGGAAAGCCGAGGTGACAGGATTGCCTGAGCCCATGGGTTAGAGACCATCCTAGGCAACTTGGCGAGACCTCATCTCTATAACAAATCAAAACATGAGCCTGGCATGGTGGCATGTGCCTGTATTTCCGCTACTTGGAAGGCTGAAGCAGAAGGATCACCTGAGCCCAGAGGGTCAAGGCTGTGGTGGCCATGAGCATGCCACTGTACTCCAGCCTGGGTGATAAAGTAAGACTTCAAGTAAAAAAAAAAAAATTAAATTAGCCAGGCGTGGTAGTGCATGCCTGTAGTTCCGGCTACATGGAAGGCTAAGGCGGAAGGACTGCTGGAGCCCAGTAGGTTGAGGCTGCGGTGGCCAGGAGCGTGCCACTGCACTCCAGTCTGTGTACCAGAGTGAGACTCCAACTCAAAAAAAAATTAAAAAAAAAATTAAGCTGCAAATCATACTACTACATTGTATTGACATCACTAAATTTTGCACAGTTACTGACAGGCTATTGGCCTAAATGTAGGTCACCCCTATTAAGCTTCTGTTTTTTTACCCACCATTTGAGTCTGTCAACAACTTAAATTTCAAATTTGCCATCTGTTATTAGCTATATATCCCTCTCAGCTTTAGACGCCTATAAGTTCAACAAGCATGCTTTCTACATCTTAAAAATAAAGAGATTATATAGGACAAAAACAGTCTTCCAAAATATGTCTATTGTGCCCCCAGGTCATGATGTGATAGTTATTAAAAAGCAAACTGTATTATTTAGATGGTAAAGTCTACATAGTTCTTTACAACAAAGGAATACTGTGATTAGCTGAAGACTTATGACTGTTCTATGTATTGTTTAAATGCCACCTAGTTGACATAGAAGAGATGTATCTGCAGAATTCAAAACTAAAATAGCCAAACTTACACTAAAAGCTTCCTTATTGTTTTTAACGCCACAGGATTCTTCTACTTCATCCTCCTCTTCTAGCACAATACTGGATGGCTAATACAAAGAAAAACACATATTACACAGGGAATCTACTTCTACATTTCAAATCTTAAAAATTTGAACATGTTCCTTTTATTTTCTAACACACTTTTAAGGTATATATCATTGTCATAATCAGGGTAAGTTTAGAAGTTAAGCTAGGAAACGTTTATAAAAGAAATTTCACATGGGAAAATTGAAGATCTAAGCATTAGCATGCACTATGACTTTTGTGTTAATCAGTGTTAATTATGCAACTTTCAATGCTTAAACTAGCAAAGCCGACTTTATCTTGAAATCAAATAACCAGCCAGGCATGGGGGCTCATGCCTGTAATTCCAGCATTTTGGGAGGCAAAGGCAAGAGGACTGCCTGTGCTCAGGGGTTTGAGACTAGCCTGGGCAACATGGTGAGACCTCATCTATACAATAAATAAAAAAAAATTAGCCCGGCGTAGTGGCACGTGCCTGTAGTTCCAGCTACTTGGAAAGCTGAGGTGGAAGGATTGCCTGAGCCCAGCAAGTAGAGGCTGCAGAGGACGTGAGCGTGCCATTGCATTTCAGCCTGGTGACAGAGTAAAACTCTGACTCAAAAAAAAAAAAGAAAAAAAATCAAATAACCAGAAAGATTTTTTGAAATATGTAATTTTACATTACTAGTTAAAACTGATAATATAGGCAGGCATGGTGGCTCAAGCCTATAATTCCAGCACTGTGGGAGGTCAAGGTAAGAGGATTGCCTGAGCCCACGGGTTACACCAGCCCGGGCAACTTGGCGAAACCTCATCTCTACAATAAATCAAAAAATTAGCCGGGCATGGTGGAGCATGCCTGTAGTTCCAGTTTCTTGGAAGGCTGAGGTGGAAGAATCATCTGAGCCTAGTAGATTGGGGCCATGGTGGCCAAGAGATGCCACTGTACTCCAGCCTGGGTGCCAGAATGAGACTCTAACTCAAAAAAACAAAAACAAAAACAAAAAACCAAACTGATAATATAACCCTCACAGAGCTTAAGCTACTACAAAATTCTGAAGTGTTCCCTAAATCAAAAATAAAATTTAAGCCGGGCATGGTAGTGTGCGCCTGTAGTTCCAGCTACTTGGAAGGCTGAGGCGGAAGGATCGCCAGAGCCCAGCAGGTCGAGGCTGCGGTGGCTGGGAGCAGCCACTGCACTCCAGTCTGGGCAATGATGAGACTCCAACTCAAAAAAAAAAATTTAAGCCAGGCACAGTGGCTCACACCTGTAATCCCAGCACTTTGGGAGGTGGAGGCGAGAGATTGCCTGAGCTTAGAGGTTCGAGACCAGCCTGAGCAATATGGCGAGACCTTGTCTCTACAATAAATCAAAAAATCAGTCCAGCAGGGTGGCACATGCCTGTGGTTCCAGCCGACTGGAAGGCTGAGGCAGAAGGGTCACCTGAGCCCAGGTTGCATGCCACTGCTCTCCAGCCTAGGCAACAGCAAGACTGACTACCCCCGCCAAAAAGTAAAAAAGTATATATATGTATGTATATTCAGTACTGATTATTAAGTGTATTTTGCTTCTCAAATCTTTTTGAAACTGTATAGAAGGCCGGTACAGTGTCTCATGCCTATAATCCCAGCACTTCGGGAGGTCGAGGTAAGAGGATTGCCTGAGCCCACGTATTTGAGACCAGCCTGGGCAAGTTGGTGAGACCTCATCTCTGTAACAAATCAAAAAATTAGCTGGGCATGGTGGCACAAGCCTGTGTTCCAGTTACTTGGAAGGCTGAGGTGGAAGGATCGCCAGTGCCCAACAGGCTGACGCTAGTGTAGCCATGAGTGTGCCACTGCCCTCCAGCCTGGGCGACAGGGTGAGAACTCCAACTCAAAACAAACAAACAAACAAAAAATTTGTATAGAATACATAAAAACTTAAAAAAAAAAAAATTAATCAGAATACTGTTCTTCAACCCCTAAGGATAAACAGCTAAAGATCCTTAATTGAGAGAGTCTAGTTAACTGTTAATAAAAAAAGGTCCAGAAATAAAAATTCTGATTCTATTTATCTATTTATTTTTTTTACATAAATGTGTTCTCCAATCTTCATTCACATAGCGAATTTTCTCAGACTTTTTTTGGAGCACACATTTGATCTTTCAAAAACAATACAAGTCAGGCGGGGTGGCTCACGCCTATAATCCCAGCACTTTGGGAGGCTGAAGTGAGAGGACTGCCTGAGCCCATGGGTTCAAGACCAGCCTGGGCAACCTGGTGAGACTTCATCTCTACAATAAATCAAAAAAATAACCAGGCCTGGTGGCATGTGCCTGTAGTTCTAGCTACTTGGAAGGCTGAGGCAGAATGAATGCCTGAGGAAAACAGGTCAAGACTGTGGTGGCTTTGAGCAGCATGCCACTGCACTCCAGCCTGGGTGACAGAGTGAGACTCCTACTAAAAAATAAATAAATAAAAAATAAAAACAAGTAGAGAGGGGAAAAGGATAGCAAAAGCCTGTTGGTTTTAGATAAAAATAAATTCAACTTTAATAAAATCAGAAACTTGGATTTTTTTTTTTCCTGGCCAGAAATTTTCTGCCCCAAAATCCATGTCCAAGTTAGAAAATGGAAAAACAGCCAGCAATTTTGAGTGTAGCCAGGTTTACATATGACTCCCTTGACCGAAGAAGCCACTGTTCAAAAGAAAGCCATGTGGCCATACTGGTTAAACTTCAGAGAAGAAAACCAGTAGAAGAATGCAAGGCAGACAATCTTAGTCATTATTCTGGTTTTGATTCAAGAAGATCTTTGTGGCCTAATAACTGGCAGTAAAAAGAGTAACCTATTAACACTAAAGTCTCTTAAATTTGAAATACCTGTGGCAAAAGATTAAAGGAAGTCTTTTCTATATCATCTTTCTGCTGCTCCTCAAATCTTTTTACTAAATTTGATACAAATTCCTCTATTTCTTGATGATATTGACTGCAAAAGAGGACAAAATGGTCAGAACCCAGAGTAAAACATTTAACAGATTCAAGTCTTATGCATTACCATAGGATGCCATGTGTAAATTTTGTTATTTCACTTTTCAGACGTTTATGAAAATCACTGACTCTTTGTAGCACTCAGAAATCTATTTCTTAGGGAAAAATTCACATTGCTGCCAAATTAATGAAATGATTTGACAATGTAGCACAGTGTTTGGCATAAGAACTGCCAAACCATTGTGCAAAGAATACATGGATTTTATTTCTCAATATTAGGTACTTAATTTTTGGATACTACATTTAAATAGTTCAACATCCAGAAGTAAAAGGATTACACAATGAAAAGCTCCTGTACTACCCTTTCTCCTAGTCACTCATTTCTTTAACACAAAAATGGTCAATATACTCAGTTCTTTCACATCCTCTTCCCAGAGACTCTTTATACGTATATAAGGAAACACCAGTATAAATATAAAACTGAAAAAAATAAAACAAAAATGCAATGCAAGAAAAAAAAATCCTGAGGTCTATGTTCTCTAGCCTTCCAGGTCAGGAACCAAGCTCATCAAATATTCAGCAGTGCTCAGTTACGGAGGTGTAAAAGGAGCCCAGGTCTTGTTAGGCTATAACAGGGCAGTCTCAGGATCTCGAACTCAGCTTCTTTTTCAGATCTGATGATCTTTCAGGTGTCTTCTAGCTATGACATTCTAAGATTTCTGCAGGTGAAATGCTAGGTGAATGGTACAGAAATTAGACTGTCATGAGCCAGAGCAGATACTAAATCTAACCTGGGTGTGGGGAGGACACTAGTGCCAGAGCCAAGCTGTGCCCTTGCTGCTGCTGTATTCACCATCCAGCTTCCCCATCCACAGAGCCCTGGGTTCTACTTTACTAAGACAAAGTAGGTATAAGTCTATCACTGCTCCTTCTAGCTTTTTAACCTTGGTCAGCACATGAATTAACAACATGATTCAGTGACTTGACAGAGGGCAAGTAACTGTCTGAAATGTCTATGACCATGCTCTAAAGAGACAGGGCCAGTCTCAAACCATTTCAGAACAATGTAGCAAGCACTATAGGAATCAACTGAGTTGCCTTAACCCAAGCATGCTGGAAAGCTTACAAAAGTCTAGTCATCTATTTAAAAAAATAATCAGCTGGGCACAGTGGCTCACGCCTTTAATCCCAGGACTTTGGGAGGCTGAGGTGAGAGGATTGCCTGAGCAACATGGCGAGACCTCATCTCTATATAACTCAAAAAATTAGCGGGGCATGGTGGTGTACGCCTTTAGTTCCAGCTACTTAGAAGCTATTTATTGAGCTCAGTGGTTCAACCTGTAATCCCAGCGCTTTGGGAGGCCGAGGTGAGTGGATTGCCTGAGCTCGCCAGTTCAAGACCTGCCTGGGCAACATGGCGAGACCTCATCTCTACAACAAATCAAAAATTAGCTGGGCGTAGTAGCTGGAACCTGCAGTTCCAGCTACTTGGAAGGTTGAGGCGGAAGGATCGCCGGAGCCCAGCAGGTCGAGGCTGCGGTGGCCGGGAGCGGCCACTGTACTCCAGTCTGGGTGACAGAGTGAGACTCCAACTCAAAAAAAGAAGCTATTTATTGGACTCTTACAGATACTCATTTAGCTATCTAAAAGGTATTTACTATTAGCATCCTGTTGTCAAGTGAGAAAATTGACAATGTAGAAAAGATCTGTGACCTTTCTACAGACGTAGACAGGAGTCCAGATTCAAATTCAGTTCCCTATGACCCCAAATGTCATTGCCCTTAACCATGATTCCACATACTATAACTTCAGATGCATTTTAAGTAAAAGAATAAAGACGATATAAGTATAACTGAAAACAGTATTTGTATGGAAGACATCATTTCATAAGCACATTAACTTAAGTTTAGGAAATGAAAAAAATTACTTACTTTGAAATAGCATTGTTCATAAATAGAATCTGTAATAAAGGTCCATCTAACTTAGTATTGTTCACCAATATTCCTCTAAAATAGAAGTTAAAACATACTCTCAGAAGATACTGAAGTAAAACTTGCATATAATAAACACATAACTTTTATAATTAAGTACCAAAGAATATATATTTTACAAATAAAACCAAGAACTCTAGTTTTCTCAAGAAGAATCTAAGTTTTTACTAATTCTACCTACTTTAACAATTTTACAAAAAATTAAGAACTAGTTAATCTCTCAGTTCTCAATCAGAAAGTTTCTTTACCTGATGGGTAGTTTCTTTATAAACTGGGGGAGGGAGGGGACAGCAGATTTACAAGAATATATATATATATTTTTTTTTTTTTTTGAGTTGGAGTCTCACTCTGTCGTCCAGACTGGAGTGCAGTGGCCACTGCCGGCCACCGCAGCCTCGACCTGCTGGGCTCCGGCGATCCTTCCACCTCAGCCTTCCAAGTAGCTGGAACTACAGGCACACGCTACCACGCCCGGCTTATTTTTAATTTATTGTAGAGATGAGATCTCGCCAAGTTGCCCAGGCGGGTCTCAAACTCGCGGTCTCAGGCAATCCACTCACCTCAGCCTCCCCAAAGTGCTGGGATTACAGACTGAGCCACCGAGCCTGGCAGAATATATTTTTAAAAGAATCGGAGCTGGGCTCAGTGGCTCAGCCTGTAATCCCGTGCTTTGGGAGGCCGAGGTGAGTGAATCGCTTGAGCCTGCGGGTTGGCGAGACCTCATCTCTACAATTAAAAAAAAAAAAAAAATTGTGGCTCAGCCTGTAATCCCACACCTTGGGAGGCTGAGGTGAGTGGACTGCCTGAGCCCCCAGGTTTGAGACCCACCTGGGCAACTTGGCGAGACCTCATCTCTAGAAAAAAATAAAAATAAAAAATAAAAATAAATAAAATACCAAAAAGTTCAACTTGTTTCAATATGAGCAAAATTTAGGTTTTAAAAAGCCACATGCAACTGCATGGCCCTTGACTGGAGTCCAGTTTGAGCAATCATCTATAAATACAGTCATTTGGGGAAATCTGAACTGGGTAGGAGCTGTTATCAAGGAAATCAGGCCAATTACTAGGTATGATAATGAGGCTGTGACTATGCATGAAAAAGTCTTTATTTTAAAAATACATGTTGAAACTGGGCTCGGTGGCTCAGCCTGTAATCCCGTGCCTTTGGGAGGTTGAGATGAGTGGATTGCCTGAACCCGCGGGTTTGAGACCCGCCTGGGAAACTTGGTGAGACCTCATCTCTCTCAAAAATGAGCAGGGTGTGGTAGCGTGCGCCTGTAGTTCCAGCCTGTAGTTCTTGAAAGGCTGAGGCGGAAGGATCGCCAGAGCCCAGCAGGTTGAGGCTGCAGTGGCCAGGAG